GTATATATATATATACATATATATATATATATTCCGCGCTTTAGTATGCATTTCTTGTACCCTAATGGAACGTAATTGTCGGTCTTTCAGATATCAGCCACCTGGTTTTCGCTTTGCCTTTTTTATCTTTGTAACAGGTTCCTCAACCACCCGAATCTCGTACAACTGTTCGGTGTGGTTCTTAAGAAAGACCGATCATCAGCCATCTGGTTTTCGCTTTGCCTTTTTTATCTTTGTAACAGGTTCCTCAACCACCCGAATCTCGTACAACTGTTCGGTGTGGTTCTTAAGAAAAGACCGATCATGATCATCACTGAGTACATGAAGCACGGTAAGTTGATTTGTTTCCCCCTGAATCATTGTTCATCCGTGTGTGTTTTGAGGCTGACTCGTTCCATACGTGAGTTCTCGACAGCATTTTAGGTACCTCTAAACAATCTCCAGACATTCACTGCTTGGCTGGTTGCACTTGGTTGAGACAACAAAGTTACATTTACTATGGGATGTGATCTTTTCGGTTCAACTTTCCATCCGCCAGGATATCACAACACGTGAAAAAGCCTCAGGGCAGAAGTCAAGGAAAGACTTTTTGACCTTAATTTGCCAGTGTTGTGTCTCGAATCAGCTGTCTGATCTCACATCTTAGAGAAGAATCTCGATAGACCAGCGTTTTTCGTGTGTTTTACTTAAACTGTTCATTTGTTGGACTCAGAAACTTGATCGGGTGCATGCTTGCATCTTGTCTCACAGTAGCTCGCCGTGCAGGCGTTACTGTCCATATCAATCACCCCATTCAATACACTCACGTGGTCTATGGGCCTGGAACTTTCGATTGAATGTTGTGGATAGTAGTGAATTCCATCTTTGTTCGTTTGTTTTCACCCGTCTGCTTGTGATCCACTGTTTTTTCTCATTGATTTAAATCTTTTGGCCTGTCTAGTGGTGCGCTGTGCTACACAGGTGTGTTACTTGAACACGGATACAAGTGTTTGCATCTTCTGTCACACAATTTGATTACTACCGAACTTTCGTGAAACGCGTTAATGTGTTACACGGGAGACATTGCGGTCTACCCTGGCCCAACCACACATAGCACAATTCTCTAAAGTCTACATATCCTTTACAAATTTTTTTAGTCCTGGTTTGTAGCTAGACTTATTTCGCCATTTTAGCTATCCCATCATTGTCATCTTCGCATCAAAGACGTTGCTTTCTCATTTTCGCCGGGTTTGTGAATGCTGTACATGGACTTACCAGTCTTATAGGAAAGCAAACTAAGGTAGACTACAATTCCTGTCACAACCTAAGTAAACTTCTATATATTGCCAATTGGACTCATGTGTAGGCCAAAGTTTCAGTTGCTCTCCGACACATGTGCACCAGCCCTGTCCTCGTTAATCTAATTAATAGTCAGCTGGTACCTCTACATTCTGTACTCCAATTTTGGCCTAATTTACGACACAGCTGAATGTCACTTTGCTACAAAGCTACTAGTGTTCTCTTGTTTTTCCTTGCTTCTCATCCCGTTCTTGAAACATTACCATCTTGATCGATACACGGGAGAAGTCTTGCGGTGGGCGATGAAAACGGCGACTATTTTGTTTGCATTTCTGGTGTGCCCTGAAAATTTCTGTAGTCCATCAAGAGGTGTCAGTTACTCAAAAATCCACTCAACTATGAACCGACAAGTCGGAATGGTCGAAGAAGCGCATTCTGGACGTGGATTTTAGTCTAAGAAGTGCAGACGAAACAACATTATCTGCCTGGATTGCGTTTGTAGCGTTTTGACTTCAATGTATGTGTGTGTGACAGTCGGCAGATTCAACATTTGGGCACCGCCTAGATATCACCGAAATTTAACTACAGGGTTCCCCAAGACTGACACACGTGATCTACCAAACAAAACTTTCTGCGTTGTTCTGTATTGTTTAGGCTTGCGGATCTGCGCACTGCTTGACAAGCTCATAAATTTACGCCCGATGACCTGAAACCTATCTATTTCCGTAGGGCAATTCTCTGATTTGGAGGATTTGTTAAGTTTTCTAGACGATGTATTTTGTCACGGTCGAAAAAAGCCTCCCTCCATCTCGGCTGTCGGGAAGGCTAGTTTTAGTTGTTATGCTACGTTACTTCTCGTATGGTTATCTCATTCCAGTCTATTGAATTTTGTTTCGTAAAAATGTAGGAAACTGCATACCTAAGGATTAGCCATTTACGAGATGAACGGTATAACCACACATGTATTCCACTACGCTGTGTTTTGACTTTTAAAAAAATCTGTATTTCACACTACGTGGCGCTCAATCTTTTTGACACTATCCGAGCAGAATTCGGATCGAACCTCCTATGTCCACAATAGAATAACATACACGATTTCCAACCACTGAACCAGCATCTGTGAAACAGTGATATATCGTTAGTCGCGGCATACATAGTCTGTCAGGTGGGGTTAAACTAGTTGATAGTAAGGCTGGTCGTAACGCCATTGCACACTGGAATTCGGCTTATCGGAAAACGAATCATATGCCGGAGGTAGTCCAATTGAACTCTGGTGGTTTTTGCGATAACGAAGAGATAGTGACATATTTTTGGTCGACAGTTTGTTTACCCAGGGACCTGCAACAGTTGAGTGAGGTAAAAGACCCAAGTAATCGGGGTGCCTTTTGGGGAGGAGGAGGGGATGTAGTAGTGGCCAAGATAATAGGCACTATGCCGTGACCCGAACGACAGTTAGACACAACTGTTTGCCTAGAATCATTGGAAGCCAGTACTTAGTGCAGTTGTGCCAAGTACGATCATTTTCATTAAAATGCATTTCTCTCGCGGACTCCTTTACTCTCATACGTTCTTCATGTCCAGTAAGGACCTCTACTGGTCACAGCTTACAGTCTACATATATTCGTTCTAGTCCATGAGTTGGCGGTGAATATCGAAAATTGTATTTCCTGATATTCCATTGCTGCACCACGAATGATTTTGGCAGTCCATTCAACAACTGTAGCACCCACACGATGCCTAGGCGCCATTCAATGATGGCTGTGATAGCACCAGGTTGTTCAAGTGTGGGTAGCTCAAGTCCTAACCCAGCCGCTGTAATCAAGTGTGAAACAAACAGTTTCTTGGCGTCTTTTTCATAGCTTTCTTTCTTCACGTTCTAGTAGTCGCGGTTACACTAGCCTGATCTCAATCAGCCAGCAGACTCATTTTTAACTCCTATAAATTGAAAATGCAGGATACAGCTTAGTCAGTCATGTGAGTTGATTATCTACTGCCTGTGGGTTGAAACGCGTTGGGCGTGCCATGTCAATCACAGTTAGCCATCTCCGTCTTTATTGCAGTCGCCTGCTGCCATAGTTTACTAGTATCGCAAATAAAAAGTACAATAAACCTCGCGTGTGGAGAGTCATAGCATCTGGGTCTGTCTTAAATTTTTCCACAAGGGGCTTTGCTAATGTTTTCGATGAATGTTCCCAATGCTTGTCCGTAACGAAATCAGTCGCGGTTCATGTGGACTCAATGCACTGTCTCGTGGGAAATGCTCATGACAATGTCACTTTTGTGAAACCAAATCATGGTTATTAAGTTACATATTTTCTAGATACACCATACATCCTAATCGGTACATTTTGGATAGATGTCATTCAGGAGACATCTGCTAACATGGGGAATGATTTTTTCTGGAAGAAAGCTGTGTATTGTGGTCCTGTGAAGCTTGTAGCCACTGCTGGTAATGGTGATTTGTTCACAATGTCTAAGTTGGTCTTGAAATTCCGCTCAGAAGTTTTCGAGAACCAAATTTCTTCAAATATCTTACAAAGGAGACTTTTTATCTAAAGTCTTCTGTTACCTCAAGGATCCAACTGTATGAAAATTTTCAACCAAACCCGCGAGCCCCCCTACACTACTCGAAACAGAGGAACTTTTCAACAGTTAATGGTTCTAGTGTCTCTAACAGTTGATGAATAATTATTGGCTGCCTGACGCTCCTCTGGTTATTGCGGATCTTAGAATAATTGCTCCCCTCAATTCATCAATATGGATCAGGTCGTATGCTGCGAGATGTCAAGATTTCTGTTCAATACACTCACGTTGTTTAAGAACAAGTATTTCCCTGAAGAATTACAGTGCATGAATCCTCAACTGGCCAGTGCAGTTGTAAAGACCAGTAGCACACTATGCGCTGAAGTATGTAAATGTCTTAACATGCTGAAATGCGAATTCACCCACATCAGTCAGTTGAATTTTGTCCCTGAAGAGTGATTGGTGGGCCAAAGCAGCGTCAGTGCCATAAAATGGTGTTCCCGATGATACAGGGACGGTTAGCACAACACCATACGGTCGATTTGGCTGGTGCTGGCGCACTTTAGGGGATGACCTTGAAAAGACTGGTACTTGATAAATCACGTGATTGACACGATAGTTTCTGTCGAATCGCAATTGTCACCTGTCTGATTTTGCGTATCCCACTGCTCAATGACAGATCTCAGACAGGCGCCGAGTCGTACGACCCTCGTAGCTAGCGCCACATTCGCAAACGAAAAAATTCGGACACAATACCCATCGAAATCGTTTGATATAATTTATCGAGTTCTACCCAATCGTCCCATGATCACCTGTCGAAGCGCACTCGCAACAGCTGAAACGATCGCTATTAGGTTACTTCAACTATTTCTGTGTCATGAAAAACGTCCGATGAAAGCTGTCTTGGCCAATAGGTAAATAATTCCAAGTAACTGACAGCTGAATTCAAATTCCGACAAATTTATATGGTATGTTTGGTATGCTGATTCATGATTTTGATTCATATGTATAAGCGTAATTGCAAGTTGAGACCTTACCGAAAACAAAGATCACCAGTAAATATCTATTTTATTGTCAACTGAGAGATGGATAATTCGAAACCTATGTAGAAAGAGTTAGCAGTTGAGTCCGGTTGGCAGATGTGTATTAGTAAATGATGGCGTCTTGGGACCAGGCCCATGACAACCAGATGGATTGTTCCGGAATCTTATGTATATGCAGATATGGTCAACATGGCCTTGGTGATTAGCGAGATTTGAGGTCTTGATAATCTTATGTATATGCAGATATGGTCAACAGGGCCTTGGTGAGGTCTTGACTGTGCAGAAACGTTCGGAAAGAAGACGTCAGATCAGCGGGTTGAGCATTTTGCAGCAGAAGCTTGGTGTAGATTAGCGATTTGACTTTTGACATTTTGTGTGCAGTTTCTCGACCACTCATACTGTGGCATATTTTCCGCCGCGCGATTTGACAGACATTGATCCGTTCTTCCGATGCAAGTGTCCCTGAAACTGCAGGAGAACTGGTAGAGTACATAGGCGGCAGGTAAATCTGCCGAACGACTCCTCTAGTAGTCTGGACAAGCGGTAGTTGCGTACCATTCTTTAGAATGATACCCCCGTGAGCTAGAGCCAGTTCACTTTTTGACTCTTTTGATCAACCGGTAAGCAGATAAACGTCTTCCGCGTTCTTTGCACTGTAGTCTATTTAGACACCATAGCACCATGGTTTACAACGGTGCTTTCGGAGTAGCCATTATAGACCTAAATCTTCTCCGGGAATGATCCAGAGAATATCATCAATCGCTTAGCGGGGACATGACTAATTGTACCATGCCTGGAATCCATTTTCTTAAGGTTCAGCTATACCAGGAAGGTCAACGGAGGTCTGTTCGACTAAATGCAGCAAGTCCATCGAGGCAATTCTCATTCAGACTCGTGGTGCTCAAACCCACACACTCCGACTTCCCAACACCTCACTGCGACCGGTTTCGCGTTATCTAGTGCGGTCTAAATGCCTGCAGAAAACAAGCGTGTAGTTCTTATCAAAACGCATCTTCTGTATGCGTTGAATACGTCAATGTATGTACTTCCGTGGGTTGCATGATGGAGTGTTGATTCCGGGTTTGGGTATTACTGTTATGTTTCTGGGTTCACACATATGGGTCTACCATAGAATTTTACGGTTGCGCAAGCTATCGCATGGTCGATAACCTGGATCTTAATCCTATGGGGGATTTTTTATCATTGCGCGAAGAGGATCGAAGGTAGCATCATATTTTGTCTGATGCTTGGAGCGTCACGAAACGTTGAAGGCTCACCCGAACTCTGCTCAAAAGATGCACGGAACGAGGTGAAACAGGTGTACAATGCTTGTCGGCTTTTAGCTTGGGTTAATTTCCTTTGAGGGGTTGAACTTCAAGTGAAACTTCGAGACCTGTTCACTGTCTACAGATTGTTTTCCCTAAGTTTGTTACTACACCGTCCGACAATTAATGATTCCAATTTTTATTCAAATTTTGATATGGACGTATGTTTTCCTTTGAGGGGTTGAACTTCAAGTGAAACTTCGAGACCTGTTCACTGTCTACAGATTGTTTTCCCTAAGTTTGTTACTACACCGTCCGACAATTAATGATTCCAATTTTTATTCAAATTTTGATATGTGACGTATGTTAAATGGACGCAATTGATGTCTCTGCTCTCACTCCATTCATTCCCTTGCTGCCAGTCCGCATTCTGATTACGAATCACAATTGTGGTAGCTTAAAATCTCGCCGGTGCTCAGAAGGCATGCCGGGTACTGATCTTGGGAGTATCAGTAACCACGTCTAATCTTACTTCGAAGCACTTTTTGAAATGTCTATCTGGGAAATATTGTGAGAAGTGTTTTCGGGAATCTGCAGTTATGTCCTTGTGGAAGCACCGAGGGTATGTCGAGAAGAGATTCGTGATATTGCAGCATTCGTATTTCCTCCTTTGTTTATAATTGCTCTGTTCCCACCAGGCCGGTCACCATATCCTTACTTTTGGGTCCGTTTTTCTATCATCAATGGTTTCTTCTAAAGTGGATTGAATAGACCCCGTAGAAAATACCCTCAGATAGAAACCATTCGGAAGGACAATGTACACCTACGTTCCATGAGATCAGAGCTCCTGCCTCCCAGTAGTGTTCACTCATCTTTGGTCATTATATTGCCTGCAGCTTTTTGCAACCTGGCTTTTCTGTTCATATGTTTCCTTATTGCTGAATCCCATCGGATGTGATCTGCCAATTCCAACAGAGTTTTGCGCCGCTTTCTGACATTCAGTGCACGATGAGATGACACGAAGATTGTAGGCTCTGAGCAGCAGTAGAGTCATCTTCGATAGTGATACATTGGCATTAATCACTGTTCCTTGACTTTCCCAACCGTGACGAAAGAATGCCTTGCTAAAGATTGTAAAGAAAGGATAAGGGTTGTGACTCAGTGTAGAGCCCTTATCCCCAGATAAAACTACCAATAACAGGATGCCAGCACCTTCGAACAGTTGTAAAATCATCATGTATACGCACCACGTCAAGGTAGGGCGCTGTCAACAGGATTGACGTAGCATTCTTTTTTTAACCTTCTCTTTCGAATATACGGCAGTTCGGATAGAAGGTGACAGTCTCCTTCTCACTGGAATCGACCACCAGTTGGGCTCTATGGGGTTTCTAGACGGGTTCAGGGCACTTCACCTGGGGTTCTGTAGGAAGAGCCCACAACACTCATTAGGACCCTAGTTATTTTTATTTCGCGTTGCAATATTATGGTCGCAGCGGATCTGTTTTTTTTTGTAGGGGGTCATTGTTGTGTCTAGTCTAACGTCTTTGGTCGTAGTATGTTCACATCAACCGACTAAATGTCTCATTCACTGAAGTACTCCACATTGCTCTTTTTTGGCCACTGCTAGTTTGATGACTTGGCTCTTCTGGTTTAGAAACTCACTTGTCCGATTTCGGTGTCACTAGAACTCATCAGCTGTACAGTTTCGCGGTACTTCTGGCCTACAACGCCAGCTTGTTCGCGAGCTCAGGTAAACTAAACATTACTGTCTCACTCATAATACGGCTTCACATAAAAAGTACATTTTGAACAGTACCAGACACCGGTTTTATAGGTATGTCGACCGCATTGACTAACTCACTGGTGTTCACGGTCAGTTGGTCGATCGGAGTTTGTTTTTAGTCCGACCTTTTCAAACCCGCCCTTCCTCAAGAGAGCCCAGCATCGCTGATTCCCTAAATATGCACATGCTGGTCGTCTGGGGAAACGACCTACTGCCTTCGCACTTCTATTGCACAGGACAGTACGACTTTATCTCCAGACCGCCTCCTAACACGATTACTCGCAGTACGGTTACCCGCTATTGTTTGTTGGACTGCCTATCGATGGTCTTCCTTGTGTGTTTGATCCTTGGGCAACTTAGTTCCAGACAGTATAACGCATAAGATCATCGCAGAACCGAATTTTGGCCACTGCAGCGAGGTGACGATTTTAAGTCGGGAATGTGTCAGCAATTCATTTTAGGTAGTCACCCTTACCATTTAGGACAAAAGAGCAATATTAAAAGTGACTTTGCGGGCTATTGGTTTCTCTGAGGTTTTTCAAACACCAGATTTCAAATTTCGTTCTATTTCTCCCAACTAAAAAACTTATTTTTTTTGTGTGACTCGCTCGAAATGCTTGAACCTGCTACCTGCTCGTTTCTCTCTGACGTGTGTGTGAACAAGTATCATCTCCCGTAAAATTTCCTATCCATAAAAACCACATTTTTACCACCGTGTTCATGGTCCAAAGATCACGCATAGATTGTTTCATTACGAAGAATCTGCAATAAGCTGGAATGAATTATCGGACACCCGATCGATGTTTTTTCGACTAGCATTCCCCTACTTCCCACTGTGTTCAAAGCAACATGAAGTGTATTATCCACAATATTCCTTTAACGGATGTAAAGGTTTGTTCGTTCACCTGACTTTCAGTCCATTTTCTGGGACATTTTCTGGCCTTCACTGCGTTCGATACCAATTTATAATCCACCCATTTTACTTTCTGTTAAGTGTGTGCTACAATGAAGTGTTTTTTTCGTCCCCGCCCTTTTCAGGCTCGTTGCGTGATTTTATGCGGCAGAGACAGTCGCATTTCTACAACCGTCCCGTTGTGATGGCCGATATTTGTGCCCAGGTTGCCAATGCCATGGCCTATCTGGAACAGGAACAGTTTGTCCATCGTGATTTGGCCGCACGAAATTGCCTGGTAAAGTCAATCAGTCGGAACTCGGTGCATGTGAAGGTAGCTGATTTTGGGATGGCGCGTTTCCTACTGGACAGTGTATATGAACCGAGTGCGGGGACTAAATTCCCCGTAAGGTGGGCTCCACCCGAAGTTTTTCAATCCATATACACAGCCAAAGCTGATGTTTGGAGTTTTGGTAAGTCTCACGAGACTTCTTCCAGTGTACCGTTTTTTTTTTGGAAATTTCTCAACCAAGTTCATTGTACATGAAATAGCGTTCTGATTCACGGTATACTGGCTCTGTTTGTACACTTCGAAAAAAAATCGTTGTCATCATTCATGATGAGGTGACCTTCTCGCGGATCTTCTGGGTCGTTGTGCAAGCTCCCAATTGTGTCCGCCGCTCGAACCTGTAAGGTCTGGCTCTCTAATTCTAGCCCTCCTACTGCCGTAGGTTTTACGAACGGCTTTCAGACGTCCTTGGGATTGTCAACTACGCGATTCATCGAGTAAATGTAGGTAAGACGATGGTCAACTAATTTTATTGTGGCACATCTTTCCACACATTCACAACACAGTCCGGAGGAGGCACAAATGTTGCCAGGTTGTCATGGTTGAGATAGCACCGTCTACTGTGTGTCCCAGTCATAGAAAAGAGCTGCCCAGTCTTTACTTTTCGCATGAAACGACACCTCATTTTCGGTGAACAAGTGGCTTGCTCCAAGCTGGCTATATATGTTTTTTAGTAAGTGGTTGTAACAATAAGCCGACATGACGACCACCTTTGACCACGGTGTGTATCTCGATGCTGATAGCCCTCAATCCGAATAATACATGCGGGATAAGCTCGGTAATTGTCCATTCTGAAGATGTTTGCGATGTGTATACAAGCGTTCATCTTTTGCGGTCTACTTGAGTAAGAGCTTACCGGAAATAAAAGTACCAGTGTGGCCAAGCTGTGGTTAACGGAACCTTAGCTCGCAACTTGGAGTCATCGTGTAGCGTCTGTCAAGTTTATGCACTTTTGAGTTGAAACTCACAGTCTCTTTCGAAATATTTTCGTCGTAATGAGCTGATTTGGTTCACTAGTTGGTTGGAAATATAACTCTAGCATGTTGAGTGTTACTGGTCCGTCTCAACCACATTGAAAACGACAGTCGCCGTGATGTCGTGAAGCGAAAGGAAATCAAGGTTTTCTCCATGTGTATCGGCTTTCAGCCCCAGGTCAGTTTTCGGTAGCACCGTCATAGACGGAAAGGTCCGGCCTGTTGGTTGCATTCATTCAATTGCACTTTTTTCACGCCGCACCACAGTTTATGGCTTCTGACATTTTCATAGTAAGTTTACATTTGCGACTAACGCACACCACCTGTAAATGACAGGAATTGTTCTCGGGTATACGTTGTCTCTTTTGTCCTTCAGTACTTTGGTCAGATCGATTTTGGTTTCCGACAGCACACACACACATAAGCGTTTTGAACAGTTGAGTCAACTCTTGCATTCACAGTGATCCATATTGTAGTCCATAGAGATCGATATAACTTTGACAGATCCACAAATGTCCGCAGCCCACTGCATGATCGGTGTGTTTATTTCACGATCACAGTCATGGATTAATTGGTGTTCAGGTTCTGAAACCTAACTAGGAAAATTGCTCCTGATATTTTCTGTCAAGTAATGAATTGACTGTTTATTTCAGCATTCCAGTGTTGTACAAACAGTATCAAGTTGTTTTCCTATGGAGGAAAATGTCGGTAGCTCAGGTAGCGTAGATGGTGGTCGTTGGCTTGTTCGCTGAGCTGCGTAGCGGTACGCTCTACTACGCCCCCCAATAACACACTGATAATGTCACCTCGATTGGTGATGGAACGCTTGCAATCAAATTGCCCAGCTCAGCAAAGAAGCCAACGACCACCAGTATCAAGTTGTCCACCTCAGATTGCAGCTCGTCACTGAGAACTGTAGTTGTGACCATCATCGGTTAAAGTAGCTGCGGGCCATTGGCAGTTAGCGATCGGGTCACTGAAGTGGCCTAATAGCGTTCCGAATCCACTCATTGCGTAACGTTTTTTAGGTGTACAACGAACTTCCATTCAACAGTGACGGTAAATCCAGTAAACAGCTGGTTTGAGTATTGCACTTCAAAAATTTGGACGTTCTAATTTGAACGACAGCTGATAAAATCAAGAAAAGTAATCAACCTAAATAGTATCTCATAATGTCCTTTGCGTTCTTGATTTGGGCAAATCAATATGATCTTTCGCACAATCGCGTTTCTAGTCTAATCGTTTTTATATTGTATAATCGTATAGCAGTGTGGACGGAAATGTGTGACTCCATGGTAATATTCCTCTTTCATTCAAAGTATGCTGAAATTCCTGGACTCGCGCCAATGCGTGGATGTGCATGAACCGGTGTAGTATTCCAAACTGTTCATCAGTTAGTCGGTGTTTCCCCACTGACTATAAGCTAAAGGGAACTGCTGCTTCAGCGTCGTTGGATAAACAACAGTTAACCCGATTTGACTGTAATTGAAGAACTTGATAGCTTGTAAAATACGCACGCTTTGTTTTAGAAAAAAATGCGGTAGCATTTCGGAAGCTCATGCGAAGTTTTCTGCCGTTGACACGTGCAAAGTGTTATCACTGACATTTTCACCCACCTCTTGTACTTCACTGATATTCGTTGATTTGGCTCCAAGTTACTGTCACATTGTAAGCTTAATCAAACTTTTATTTCGGTCCAAACTAAGTCGGTTCTGAGGTTGGCCTTTTCACAGTTGACATCCACTTGAAGCTTTTTGGGACTCGTGAACGGATTTTTGTAGCGTGCAGCGTAAATGATGGGTTGCATACTTGCATTTTTGACCTTCTATCAATCAGTGGTCTAATCCACTGATTCAGACTCAGTGTACTGTAGACAGCGAGTTTCACTGCATTGATTTTTTGGTGCTTGGTATTCGTTCTGCGCTTTAACTGGTTCACTGTAATTGTTCGGTAACTTAGCTTAGAAGTAAACATTGTATACCAGTGAATAATTGTTGCCCGTGCTACGTCCGTGTACACGGAACGTCACACCATCAGTGTCGATCCGATGGAATCTTCGGACCCCAATATGATGAAAGCACCAGTGAGTTGTGCACTGATTGACTGAATTATATTCCCAGTTTCCTAACCAAACTTCTTCTAAATAAGGTGACATTCAGGTTACGATTACCGATCTGATAAGTGCAAGATGGACTAAAAGCGTCCTGTAACCGGGTTTCGCTTCGCATGAAAACATCTCGAGTCTGTTACTGATTTTCCAATAGTTTTTATCGTGGCTTGAGTGATCCTTGGGACTGTTGTGAGATTTATTTTGGAAATGAGTGCCCAGCCCAAAACCCTGATTGATGTCTCTCCTGTGTCTTAGTTACGCGATCGGCAATTACAATCACCTGAATGTCTCGGCAACTTCCATTTATTCACAGTTTCGCAGCTACATTTTCTGGTAAACATGCTCAACTTTTCTCTCTTGAATGCATGGGTCCAACCTACTTCTTCTCTTCTTGTATTGCGATTTCTGTTTTTGTTTCTTTTATCGAAACAAATTCATTGTATACTAATGTATAGAGTCCTTGCTGAGTACGGCTGGATCGTCAGTGTCAAACTGTTAGCTGGGCCACACCAATGTATCCATGACACCCGTGTGTTTTGAGCTGGTGTCCCTCCGTTCCGGTCAAACCCCGACGCGGGTGCGTCATCACTGTTTATGGTAATTTTCTGTGACACCACACACTGGCCGTCTCGTCTCTAGTTGTCCAAGATTTTTGTTGCTTGTTACGCTCACTCATTCACCTTTGATTACCTAAGCGACCACGACATTCTAATTCCTGATGTCCCAAAGGTTCTTGGTTATAACTAATGTTAGCCGTATTCCTGGTATCTTTCTGGCCTTACCACCTTTGGCTAGACAGTACCTATTCTGCTTTTATGTGTAAATATGATTATGAGTATATATGTAACTATATATTCGGTTATGTATTTGATCGCAACAACTCCTCCCAGTTTATCTCATTTTTAGCTTGTATGTTTGGTACTAAGCAAAGGGATGCACATCTGTGATTAATTTTGAAAGTAGCTCAGAGAAAGAATAAATTCACAGACGAGTAAAACTTCCATTCGTCACTCGTCTACTCGTCACTCGGTGAGCCAGTCAATAAGTGACCAAGTGATGTGGATCCCGTGATTGAAGGAGGAGCGGTATCTCATTCTGTCCCAGTGTGAGTTAATCACACTGCTCATCAGGAGCTCCTGGCCGAACATTTTTCAGACTTCTAGCCGGAAGGTCGCCACTTCGAAACTCCATGGAGTTCCATGTGATCCTCACTGTTGATTATTCAGAATGAAACAGCTACATAGTACTTTTCAGCGTAGATTGGCTTCACCGATAGAACGAAATCTCAATCGAAAACTACCAAACATCCTCTAGGTATCATCAATTTTGGAAGCGTTCATTTATTAGGGTGTCCCGTTTGGTGACCAAGTAGGCGAACGTTCATCATTGGTCTATCACAACGGTAGTCGTAGCCCGAAAAACCCGATCAAACCAGAACCTCCTTTATTCGCTGGGTTCCTCGGCTTATGGTTTCGGGCCACGGATTACGCCCCTCCAGATCAGTTTTTGTCACTCACTGAAGGCTTTTCCGTATGAGTAAAGAACTGTATTGACATCTGTCAGCCCACTTTTAGTGACAGTTCAGCATTTGAGATGTGCTTTATTGTAACCAGCTGTTGTTCTACACAGAATGTCAATGTAACCTAGGATCACTCTTCATAGAGGATCTACTACTAAGCTATGACGTCGAAGTTACCTGGATGTGATCAGTTTCTGAAAGACTCAGTCATTTGAACAATCATTCAGCTACGCTAATTACAGGGTATTGGAAACTCTCCGACAGCTCACCACCGAATTCGTCTTTCTTGAGACTCATCCGGTCGGTGCATTCCTCGAGTTCGCATCAATCGTGTGTTCTGCTTGAACACCGAATTGTACACAAGTGGCGAAGTAGACTCATTCGCGGTGCGTTGTCGTTAAAGCAATACTCAACGGAATCCCGTTGTGTCACTCTTCAACTGTATGTGCTGCGCAAAGATTGCCTCAGGCTTCAGTTGCCAGGTGCTCTGTAGAATTTTGGAAATACACAATAATTTCGAG